CCTCTAGTAGCGTTGAAGGTGCATCAATCCATCAGAAGAAACACGTAGCAAATCAGACGTATAATAATACCATGTCATTTTTCCCATAGAAAACTAGTGACAAATACAACAGGCATATAAATAAAAATAGCATCATTCTATTTCTCCAAAATTACTTGGGCATATGCTTTAGTAGCGGTTACAGAAGACTAGTGCGTCGAACCTACTTCATATTAACCATATCTGCGGACCCTGCAAATCAGACAGAAGGTTCGAGCTACAAAGCTAAAGAGGAACTACAAAATGTCACAAATCCATGGCTCTCAATTATTTCTGATTCCTTTTATGTGTCTAATATTTTTCTTTAATCGGTACAGTTTTAATATCTATGTTTATTTTGATATCATATTTAATAAGATCTGGACCACTCGTAATTGGATATTTATCAATTTGTTTCTTTTTTTACCAATCAAATGATAAAAAAACTAGTTACAAGTGGTCAAAAACAATTAGAAAAATATGTTTGTGATTTGAAATAAATAAAAATCTTGCATATCTTCAATTTTGCAAAATCATCAGATTCATCATCTCAGAAATTATTTTAATAGAGCTTGACGCTGCATAATATTTTATTGATTGACAAGTGAGTATAACATGGAATAACTATTACCATGTATAACCATGGTTTACATTTTCGACAAGTACATAGAGAATGACATCAAAGTTCATCATTTTTGTAACTCTTATTTGGCAATGAAGACGACTCAAGAAGATACCTTGTGGCCATGGAAGCAAGAAGGGAAGCACCGTAAGGTAGTAATTCTTCATTAACTTCAAAATACGGAGAGTGAGGATTCGCCATCGGCGAATGAGCTTCATTTTGCATTCCAACAAAGCTAAAATGTCCCGGCATCGCCTCTTGGTAGAAGGCGAAATCCTCTGATACCATCACCGGTTGCGTCTCATTGTAATTCTCAATCCCTACCAAATCAACTGATACGTTCTTGAAAAATTGGTGCAAGGCTTCGTTGTTAACAGTTGGTGGAAAAAACGGGTAATTTTCTTCAAGAAAATCCACTGTTGCACTACACATATGCACGCTCGCTTGGCTTGTGATAACCTGAAACATTGGATTCATCAGAGAGTTCAAAACTTCAGTCTGAAGGCGCAAACTACTCATCGGTCAAAGTAACTGACCTGCTCAATTCTTTCCTTGAGTTTCCAAAAGCTTTCGTTACTAAGGGCTCGAAATGTGCCACCAATAGTAACAGAGTCTGGAATGACATTAAAAGCATCACTGCCTTCAAATTTAGCAACTGTAACCACCTGTAAAAACTCACACAATCAAATCAGTCCACATGCTATAAACGGTTTTATATAGAGACCAGAAAAGTCAGATTATGGCTCTGACTATAAAAGTTGAATTACAATAGATGTTACAAGTAGTTGTAACTTGTTGTAAAAGTCTTGTGGTAAAAACTTATATTATACCTGTGAGTCTAAAGGATCTGCCTCTCGTGAAACAATGTGTTGTAAGCTTAAGATAATACTTGAAGCTGCCACTACCGGATCTATGGCGAATTGAGGAAGAGCAGCATGACCTCCTCTACCGCTTATCTTAGCTTCGAAACGGCCACTACCAGCCATTAAAAGACGTGCTCTTGAGCTCACTTTACCTAATCCCAATAGATTTGTAACATGTATACCAAAGATTGCACTCGCTTTCTTCAATACTCCAGCCTCCACGATTTTCTTCGCACCTGCTCCTCCTTCCTCAGCTGGTTGGAAAACAAGAATCACTGTACCCTGAAGAATCAAATGACCAAGAAATCTCAGATTCAAAATCTTAAGAAGGAATTTTGGTTTGGAAAAAATCCAGTACAACATTAGAACCTTTAGCTCTTTTTCGTGTTCTTTGAGCAATTTTGTAGCACCAAGGAGCATTGTAGTATGAGCATCATGTCCACAAGCGTGCATCTTCCCTGGAATCTTACTCGCGTGCTCCCATTCCACCATTTCCTACACAATTCATCATCATAAATGTTCAATACGAATCCATCATGAAGTAATTGAATATCACACAAGAATTAGATCTCTGAGTCATAGGAAATGAGACCATTTTTACTAGAAACAAGTCTAGTAAACTCGGATAAAAGACCTTAAAAAGGGATGAAGTTCTCTCCAAAAACACCATGTATTTTTAGTTATGTTGTTATTAGTTGCATCCACATGCTATTACAAATTCAAAAACGAACAGAACTGCATCCAAATACAAACATCTACGTGCATAAACCAAAATTAAAAGCAAGCAACATCATACAAATACATAAACAAACAGTCCATTAGTTACCTGCATAGGAAGTGCATCCATATCTGCCCTCAATGCAACAAAGGGGGCCTGACCAGTTCCGACAGAACCAATAACACCAGTTACCGCAACTGGATGGTCATAAGACACACCCATCTTATCTAATTCCGCCCTGACGACCTTAGATGTCTCTACTTCCTCGTAACCTAATTCAGGATGCTCATGGATTTTCCTTCTGATCCCCACCATCCAGTTGAAAATGTCATCTCTTTTAGCCAAAGTAAGAAACTTTTGAGGGATTTGAGATAACCCATCAGAGGTTAAGGAAGAAGAAGAACATGAAATAAGACAAGAATTGAGTAAATGAAGGATCAAAACAAAGGAAACCAGTTTGCAGAAACTCATGGCTAGATTGGAGAGAGAGTTCTCTGTGTGGTAATGAGGCAATGAAACAGGAAGCAAAAAGCTGTATTTAAACCCTAACAACTCACAAATAGCAAGCCAAATACAACACGGAAACTCAGAAAACTTTTAATTGCCTCCCTGTTCGTTAGTGAATTTTGTATTTGCATAAGATCCTCATGTTCTTTGTAAGCGTGGAAGATACAATGTGTAGGAGTCGAAACCAACATAATTACATTCGGAAAAACTTTTAGAGTGAACTGAAACTTCTACGTATGAACTACAAGAACAAAGATCAAGAAATTGTTTTATTGTTGTTGTGTAAAACTCTCAAAGTACAAGTCTTTTGGTATAATTTTTTTTGGATCCCTTGATAGATCGTGTACATGTGTATAATTTAGGCATGTCAAACAAGTTAGCCCGACCCGGTCCGGCCCAAAACCCGTAAAGCACGCCTATATACAAGTCCGGCCCGAAAAATATCGGGCCTATTTTTCAAAGCCCGCCCCGGCCCGAATAGGGCTACAGGGCTTTATGGGCTTTTTCGTATTTATAT